TGGCTAAAAAAAAAAAAATAATCTATATCTATATCTATACTACTTTAAAAGGAGAAGTGTTTTTGTAAAAATTCATAATGCCTAAAAAACCCTTACTTTGACATAAATTTAATGTCAAATTAGTAATACACTAATACGCATCATATTTTATCTATATTTTAATTAAAAAATTGAACTACCTAAAAAACTCTTACTTTCACATGTTTTTAATGACAAATTGGTAATATACTAATATCATCATATCTTATATTTCTCCCTATATATAATTAAAAAAAACATACATTTTTTCAATTCAACATAAGCAAATCAATGAAAATAATATATTTTTAAAAATTTTATTACAAAAGTTGACACGACAATATTATTAATAAATTTATGAATTGTAAATATTTAATTAAAATATTAATTAAAAAATTTTAATTATATATAATATAATATAGAATATACAAATATTTGATATATAACGAGACAAATGATCGAAAAAATTATATACTTTTTATTATGTATTTTTTGACAAATCTACAGTTAAGAACACGTGAAAGAACAAGATAAAATTTTGAAAAAATATTAAATATAAAAAAAATATGAATAATAACTAAGTTGTGACACGTACTAATAAATATAAAACAAACTAATAAACAAAAATAATAATTAATATAACTAAATATAAACCTTCTAAAAATAAACTTATCGATATAATCGAACTGAGTTGTTAAACGCTTGTTAGTTTTTTGTTATTATTAACTTTATGTGTAAATTTGAGGTGATAGACAATAGTTATTTGTACATTTATACATGTAGATTAGAAAAAAAAATCTTTATTATTATAATTTTAAATAACTTTTTTATTTACTATATTAGTTTTTTTAATATAATATATAAGTATCATATTGAATAGATAAAACAAGAAATATTTTAATTATATAATATTCAATATGTAAGAAATGTAACTCAATTGGTAAATTAATAGGTAATCTTGGGATAAAATAATGAGTGATTTCTGAAATATATATATATATATATATATATATATATATATATATATATAGGAACTAAAAAGTTCACTTGTTTAATATATTTTTAATAGAAAAATTATAAACACAATTACTCAATAAATACTACATAAAAAACATAAGAAAACTTATATCCTCCCTATATATAATTAAAAAACATAACTTTTCTCAATTCAACATAAGCAAATCAATGAAAATAATATATTTTTAAAAATTTTATGAACAAAAGTTCACTTGACAATATTATTAATGAATTTATGAATTGTAAATATTTAATTAAAATATTATTTAAAAAATTGTAATTAAATATAATATAATATAGGATATACAAATATTTGATATATAATGAGGCAAATGATCGAAAAAATTCTATACTTTATATTATGTCTTTTTTGACAAATCTACAGTTAAGAACATGTGAAAGAACAAGATTATAAAGTTTTAAAATAATAGTAAATATAAAAAATAATATGAATAATAACTAAGTTGTGACACGTACTAATAAATATAAAACAAGCTAATAAACAAAAATAATATAATTTATATAACTAAATATAAACCTTCTAAAAATATACTTATCGATGTAATCGAACTGAGTTGTTAAACGGTTGTTAGTTTTTTGTTCTAATTATTTTTATTTGTAAATTTGAGGTGATAGACAATAGTTATTTGTACATTTATACATGTAGATTATAAAAAAAAAAATCTTTATTATTCTAATTTTAAATACCTTTTTTATTTACTATATTAGTTTTTTTAATATAATATATAAGTATCATATTGAACATATAAAACAAGAAATATTTTAATTATATAATATTTAATATGTAAGAAATGTAACACAATTGGTAAATTAATAGGTAATCTTAGGATAAAATAATGAGTGATTTCCGAAAATTATAGGAACTAAAAAGTTCACGTGTTTAATATATTTTTAATAGAAAAATTGTAAACACAATTATTCAAAAAAATACTACATAAAAAATATAAGAAATCTTATATCCTCCTTATATATAATTAAAAAACATAACTTTTTTTTAATTCAACATAAGCAAATCAATGAAAATAATATATTTTTAAAAGTTTATGAACAAAAGTTGACTCGACAATATTATTAATGAATTTATGAATTGTAAATATTTAATTAAATTATTAATTAAAAAATTGTAATTAAATATAATATAATATAGGATATCAAATATTTGATATATAATGAGGCAGATGATCGAAAAAATTCTATTCTTTATATTATGTCTTTATTTGACAAATCTACAGTTAAGAACATGTGAAAGAACAAGATAAAGTTTTAAAAAAATATTAAATATAATAAATAATATGAATAATAACTAAGTTGTGACATGTACTAATAAATATAAAA